GGCGCTTCGGTTTTGAAATTTGTAATATGGTTTGCCGAGAAATTTAATCAAATTAATATTGATTAGTACTTACGTGTTATCTTATTAACTGTTCAAAATGTCCGCCGTTCACCTCCATACAATAGTACAGCAACTGTTCAAAGTGTGCTCGGACATTGTGAAGAATATCAGATGTAATTAGTCGACTTTCATTGGTAATGCGGTTCCGTAAATCTTCTAAGGATTCAGGCTGGGTGGCGTAAATTTTCGATTTCAGATGTCCCCACAAACAGAAGTCAAGGGGAGATAAATCGGGTGATCGCGCAGCCCATTCGATAGCACCCCTCCTTCCAATCCATCCAGGAAAGTTTTCGTTCAAAAACTCCCGTACAGCTAATGCATAATGGGGAGGAGCCCCATCTTGCTGAAATATCGGATTTACTTCATGATAACGTTGGTCGTTTTCCATAATTTCGATCAGTGCTGGGTTGACGGCATGCTCCAGCAAGTCTAAGTAAGTATCTCCATCCAAATTTCCCTGTATGAAATATGGCCCAATAATGTGATCACCAAAAATACCAGCCCAAACGTTTAATTTTTGAGGATGTTGAGTATGAGCCTCATGGTGAAGCCTTGGATTCGTGTCGGACCAATAACGACAGTTATGTCGATTAACAGTGCCATTGAGAAAAAATGAACATTTGTCTGAGAAGCAAACATTAAAAAGGTAGTTGGGAGTATGTGTAATTATTTCGGACATTATTTCACAAAATTGTAAACGGCGGTCATTATCATCTTCATTCAATTCGTGAAGAAGTTGAATTTTATATGGGTATAATTTATTATGTTTCAGAATTCTCTGTACAGTGGTCCGAGAAACACCTGTTACATCAGAAAGTTTTCAGGTACTCAATCTAGGGTCCATAGTAACTTGACCCAGAACAGCTACTTCTACTGCCTCATTTCTCACCGGATTTTCAATATCCCGTTTTCTGCTTGTCACTGAACCAGTTTGCCGGAATTTTGCTACTAGTTCTAGGACTTAACCATGATGCACGTTTCTTTCTGCATGCCTCTCATTGAACAAAGTACTCTTGCACATTGATTGTTAATAAAATACAATTCAATAATTTCCACTCTCTCCGCAATAGAATAAACCATTTTTTATCGAATGTACACCAAAGAAAATCACAGAAATATTGAACTATCCACATCAACTACTTCACCGAAGATAAAGTTGAATTGTCAACTGATATTTGTTAGTTTAAAAACGATTTTTTGTTTACGAACCTATTTTTTGTAAATAAGAGATGCAGTAAAATGTTTGAAATTTCATTGCTCGGCGACGCGTATCTCAAATTTAAATAACGAAGCGCCATTTTAAAGAAAATTTGATGCCCTCTCAAAAGATGTATCACAACATTCCCCCTTCCCATTTGAAAAAATAAGGGTGAATGCCACCCCCGCTAAGGGATTGAAGTTACTGTGATGTAATCAATGTGTAAATATGTCCCCCTGAAAACAAAATTATACGGGTCCGAGGATTTTTTTAAATTTTCACATACAAAGCCCAAAACCTTGCTGGACTGTTTTCGATGGGCCACCCTGTATATACGATAATTTTGTTCATTTTTGTTTTTAATACGGTGTGTCCCGCTTAAAGATTGACCACCCTTTTAATTTTTTTTTTTAACCGATCCAATTAATATACAGTGACCGCCAAAAAGTTTGCAATAAATGGGAAAATATTTTATTATTAGGATATCAGAAAGGATGTTACGTGGGATCAATTCAGCATACCTATCAACAAAAAAAGCACTGTGACAGATGTCATGTGACCACAGTTATGGCGGGAAATTTAAAAAGTTCGCCTTAAATATGTAAAAAGTGGGATTAGATGACTAGAAATCGAAAAATTGTAGAGAGAAAAGTGATTCAGGATTCGATTTTACGTCCATTTTTGAAAAGGTATAAGGATTTTTAATAAATATCAATTTTTTGGTCTGTTTTCTGGTAATTTGAAGAATATCAAAAACTTTTCGCAAAAATATTGGTTTGATTGAATTTAGGAAAGAGGTATTGGATCATTTAGAACGATTTTATGATATTTCCAAATTTGTTATTTCAAATTTTTGTTTTCTGTAAGTCATTGCAACAAGATCAGAGTGGTCTGAAAATGAATTTTTGGTTTTTTACAATTTTCCGCGGGACAATTAAGCAGAATGATTGCACTGGGTTTTTTTTTGTTAGTTTTACTTTGAATTATGTGAACCAAGCGAAAAGTTTTTGAAATTTTTCGAATTACCAGAAAACAGGCCAAAAAATTGATATTTATTAAAAGTCCTTGTACCTTTTTAAAAATTTACACATAGACGTAAAATCGAATTCTGAACCACTTTTCTCTCTACAATTTTTCGATTTCTGGTCATCTAACCCCACTTTTTACATATTCAAGGCGAACTTTTCAAATTTCCCGCCATAACTGTTGTCACATGACATCTGTCAAAGTGCTTTTTTTTGTTGATGGGTATGGTAATAATAAAATATTTTCCCATTTGTTGCAAACTTTTTGGCGGTAACTGTATATCTATATACAGTGTGTCCACTTGAGTTCGCAGCATATGGGAAACTTTTTTATTATCAATTTTACGAAAAAAAGTTATTCTTTATAAAAGTTTCTGCTTCTTGAAAAAATAGTATTAAGCTATTAAAACTTGGAATAGCATGTACAGGGTGGTCAAAAAAAAGAAAAATGTACAGAATTTTTTGGTAAAAGACTGTTAAAGTAGAAAAAAATGGCACGTCACTATTTTTTAAAACCTTTGATTTTTTTTTTCAGATTTAGCAAATCATATTACAGTCAAAAGATAGCTTTCATTATCACAAACAGACCTGCCAAATTTGAAAAAAAAAATTGGAAAATGGATTTTTGAGCTAAAAAAATTATTTTTTCTAAAACTTTGACACTCTGTATCTCAGAAACTACGCAGAATATTGTAAGAAATCACGTCCTGAAGTTACGAACAGTACTTAGGAAACACCCTGTATATTTTTCTATTTTTTGACCACCCTGTACATGCTATTTCAAGTTTTAAATGTTTAATATTATTTTTTCAAGAAGCAGAAACTTTTATAAAGAATAACTTTTTTTCGTAAAATTGATAATAAAAAAGTTTCCCACATTCTGCGAATTTAAGTGGACACACTGTATATAAATATCTACTCGAATTTGGCACTTATCTGGCTTATAATTTTATTTCTGCGGCTGTACTGGTGTACAGGGTGTCCACATTTATAGGCTCAAATTTCAATAGTTTTGGTTAAGGATGTTCTAAAACTATGTTGTATCAAGTTTTGTTGTTCTCAAGGCCTCAAAAAATTACATTTTTGCGGTTTGGTCCAATAAACTTTTAAAATTTGTTGTCATCACCCTCTATCGTATTGGAACAAAAATTAGTACATTTGGTTTTTAGACTATTCTAAACAAGAATTTGCTATCAGATTTTTTCTAAAAAAAACCCTTATAGTACTTATTGAATTTTTTTTTTTGGTGAACAAAAAAATTACTTTCTCTCTATCATCTTCTTTCCTTCCTGCCACTTCATTCTTTCTGGATTCCTCCACTCCAAACATTAATACATTGGTAGCTCTTCCCTATATTTCCTTATTTCGGCCAAATGCTAACTTGATGCGTTTATGAAAGTCAAGACGTTTTTCAATTTTTCTCTCGATTTTTCTAATTTAAAGAAACCTTTTGAATACATTATCATGTACCATTTGAAATGTTTGTTATTCTGTAGTTTACTTGAATGAATAAATAAATAAATTCTTTAATATAACGAATAAACATTTTTGTAGACAATTTTCTAAGTAGTCAGTCAAAATACTACATTTGGTACAATAATAACATAACTGACTCTCCTAAGCTCTGACAATTTGACATATAATTTTACGAGAATGCTATTCTATAGCATGAGTCAGGGATCTTGTATACATACTAGTAAGACCAATCATTATTTAATGTTGTTCCGCGATTTGCATCAAAATTTTATACTTATTTTATACTTCTATTTTGAACAATTGCGATAAAAAAAAGTAGTACAAAAATTATTAACCCTAATTTGAGCTCCCGGTGTAACATACAAAAAAAATTTGACAGTAAATGAACATTTCAAAATATGGTGGGTTCAGGCAATGATATTAAGACAGATAGACATCATAGACCAGGGGATTTTATAGATTTTTTTGTTTGTACTACTTTTTTTTATCGCAATGGTACAGTCGTGAGCATTAAAAGTGGGACATCCGACTGACAGGTCTTGTCATATTGCGCTATTTTGGGTAAATCAGTATTTTCTGTACAACGGATTTTTTTGTTAAATATGACAATTCCTGTCGTTGCCGACGGTGTAGCTGGCGAGCCCGTTTCACAAAAGGAAAAATCGGGTGTCCCATTTTTGATGCTCACGACTGTACATATATACATTTACCTACCTTATTCAAAATTGTACTAATCCCCCTTCAATGATAGTTTGATGAATCGGAACTATTAAGGTCACCAAAAGTATCTGGGACAAAAATTATGCATAATAATCTCCTGGACTAATTCTACTGTCACTCATTTCGATGCATTTGATTCATAGTTTGACAAATATTTGACAATAAAATTCATATAATAGGACAAGAGCTAATATGATGCTGTCCCAGTTACTTTTAGTGACGATGGTACATGTTTTGTCGTGGGTTAATGGGTTTCTGTCTTCTTCATGTTACATATTTGTAATCATTGTGTAACTTTTCATTGATTAAATGTGTTTTTATTTGTATAAAAAATAAAACTTTGAATAATGCTGATTTTTAACTTTTGAACTAAACTTTATACACAAATAGTTTGACCTTGGTCATCATCATTTCAATGCTTTTACCTAATAAGGAGGGCGCTGGCTGACCGCTCCTGTTAATAAATACATCAAACTCACCTTGGTTAAATGACTAGTTGTTTCAAAAATAATTACTTTCAGATTTGTCAATCTTGGCCAGTAGTCTGAAGGCTTCTTTCGCATCGTTAGATTCTACCATCTTATACAGAAGAACCAAAACTTTCAACGATCTGCGGCATGAGTCAACTTATCTTGATATAAGGGTTATCAGGCACAAATAGTATTATGTCCAAAAATTGTATTATTAATCTTAGACTTACATAAGTTTTTTTTTCAGTTAGTTTTAAGAATAAGGACTTTTTTAAGAATAGTGTTTTAGTTTTTTTAGAATGCTTTGGCGTTGCATTTAAGTTCGAATTCCTTCTAGCTATAAAACCAAAGAACTGTAGATACTGTTCTACTCTCAAGTTGAAACTATATGCATATTCCTTTTTCCGCCTAATGTTTTGATTAGTTTGTCAAGTTATGTACGGGAATTATCTCAATTATCTGGTACAAATAGTGCTTCAATTTAAGGTAAACTACGCATTCCTTCTTTGGTCTAATGTTTGGGTTAGTTTGTTAACTTAGGTGTGTAAAAGAATTATCAGGCAAAAATAATATCACTCTTAGATATATTCGCTTAGTTACTCGGTTCGCTCATATTTTTTTTTTTTTAACTTCGAGAATAATGTTTCTGTTTTTTTTAATGCCTTTGCGTGAATAATTACTTTTATTTCACTTTAAAAATAATGTCATCATTTACAGTGAAATAGGCCGAATTGGAGCCAAACGTTTCTGATTCATTTTCAAAATTTGGTCACTACCGGCCCCTTTTGCGAGTTTTTTTATTGACTTTCACCCGTCAACATATGTACAAGAATTATCAGACTGACTAACCCAAACTCAACTTTATGCACATATAATGTGACAGCTCTTCATTGGTCTTCGAAATGAATGTAGGTACTTACTGCATTGCCGTGGGCTGGTGTTTATCCAATCTCACGCCTTGTTATATTGAATTGTCCTTCCTGTTTAGTTTTGTTTAATTGATTCCAAGAATAATTTTTTTTTAACTTGTTAGAATATATATCTGTTTTTTTTTTAAATACTTTTATTGTGAATAATGAATTTTATTTCGTTTCAATAATAAAGTTTCTGCTTTTCTAATGGTTTCATTTTTTATTATTTATGGTTACCTAAAATTTTAATATAGGAGTAATTTTAGTTTCATTTACAGTACAATGGTACGAATTGGAGCAAGATTTCCAATTCGATTTCAAAATATCGCCACTACTAGTCTACAGTACTGTCTGCTCAAGTTAAGAACACCGGTTGAAAAAAGTGAAGAATTTAAGTTCATAGAAAACATAGTTGTCACGTACACTCACGAATATGACCCATTATTTACTTTTGCATTTCGATGTTGTTATGTAATTATTTTTGACATTAACGCACTATTTTAGGGCTGAGAATCCGAGTATCAGGCATCAAATAGTGTGTTAACGTCAGAAATAATTACATAACGTTACAAATAGGGCTTGTTTCGCATTAGGGTTCTACCAAGAAGAAATGCTGAAGATATTCAACAATTTTAACTGTAAAAAAATTGTGTGGAAAAATATGTTCTAATTCTTTTCTCGCTTCCTAGATCACCGAAATGCAAAAGTAAATAATGGGTCATATACCTTTTTTATGCTCATTCCAACGAGCTATCACAATACATATCTTTACATTTGAAAAAAAAAAGTTGGGGTGGTTTCTACCCTTAAGAGAGGGGTAAATTCCATGAAAAGGCCGAAAAAATGTGCCAAACTAAAAATAAAGGGACCCGTTTTTTTAAATTTTTCTAGAAAATAAACAGGCTTTCTGATACTAATTTTATTCCATTTAAAAATTCCACCCTGTATAGAATTTGGCATGAGAAATCCGAAAAAATATGTTTCGAATCAATCGAATCTGTGCAGTTGACCATACAGCTCTACAGCAACGGTAGTAATGAATATATGGCCTCACACAGAAAAAAAAATCTGAAATAAGCGGCCTTTCTATCCGAAGCAGATAATTCATTGATATCTCAAGCTGCAAGAAAAGAAATTAAGATCAATATAGGATATTACACACTGTAATATAGGATAGGTCGTTTTGAGTGTATAGTTTACCCCTTATCACTGCATTCCCCTTTACACTGTTTGCAGGCAAGCGTGCAGGGCAATTCACTTCTTCTGCAGGAGCAAAGCTTTGTGTCACATGGCATGTTGCACCCACATGTATCGAGTAATCTCCACGCCTCCCAAACGTGGATTTTTCGACTACAATGGTGCCCACTTCCCTCATCTCTATATGCCCAGGTACTTGTGCAGGGAGACCTTGTTGGTGTATCTGATCCGCTCTACCCCAAATGTGATTCGCCTGATGAGCTGCTCTTAATCGGTGCTGATGTAGAGTCGCTACAGGTGGAATGAACGTTGGTAGGCGGTTTTCGGTCGCAAATAAATATTTTCTTTTTCGAGTGCTTCGGTGAATGATATTGCTCGAAATGCGGATGTTGTTTCTTCAGTCCAAGCTTTCCACGTCGATCGTTTTCCTTTTGATGAGGCAAATGATACGGTGTCACAGCCAGTAAAAGCATGGAAACTGCTTATACCACCACAGTAGCATAAAAAATACCACAGGAAAAAACTGTGAATCTGGATTAAGAAAACAAGAACTACTACCCACAAAAGGTGAAATTCTGCCATGGTTTATAGGCTTTATATTTTCAACGATATATTTTAAAGGTTCCTCATTTACCAACTAATTGGGAAAAATATCTGCGGAACAATTCCAATAAACAATAAGTTTCAAATTTTTGGTGGATAGTATCATTGGGCATTGTAAGTTCTATCATGTGGTAACTAATGTGGGTAAGTCGTCAACTGCAGTTCTATCAACTTAGAGGGCGTATCCTGTGGTCAAATGGAGGATGCGGATGGGCGAATAATTTTGCACGTTGAAGATATGGTACTAAACGGATCAAAATCAGTGCTTATTTGTTGTACTGACACTGACATCTTGGTTTTGGCCATATGTTTTTATCCTCAATTGGAACGTGTAGGCCTGGAAAGTCTCTGGCTGCTATTAGGATGTCCTAAAACTCTACGATAGATTCTCGTGCACATTACGGAAGTTCTTGGTGATAGAAAAGCAGAAGCTGTACGCGGTTCCCATGCTTTTACTGGCTGTGACACCGTATCATTTCTATCATCAAAAGGCAAACGATCGGCGTGGACTGAAGAAACAACATCCACATTTCGTGCAATATCTTTCCTCTGCGATGATTTGGAAGACGATGTTCCTAGAGCTCTCGAAAAATATGTGGTATGGTACGCCTTTAAATGTTCAGTTTGATGAGCTACATAAGGCCAAAAAATACATCTGCGACCGAAAACAGCCTACTAACGCTCATTCCACCAACTGCAGCGGCTCTACATGAGTACCGACACATCAAGCGCAGCTCAACAGGCGAATCACATTTGGGGTAGAGTAGAGCGTATGTGACATACCAAAACTGTCTCCCTACACCAAGTACGTGGGGATGTAGAGATGATGAAGGCAAGTGGCTACCATTGTAGTCGCAAGAGCCATATGTTTGGGAGGCATCGAGATCACTCGATACATGTGGATGCAACACGCCATGTGAAACAATGCCTTGCTCCTGCAGTCCTGTGTGACGCAATTTATTCATTACTGCCGTTGCTGTAGAGCTGTATCGGTGACCTGTACAGATTCGAAACATATTTTTTTAGATCTCACATGCCAAATTCTATATAAATCGTCATTATTTTTTTTAGATAGGTCTGAATGTGAAAAAAAATATATATATTTTTGACATTTATGTCAAATATGACTGCAATAGAACCCTACCATTGCGTACTATGAAGATGAGACTTTTTTTTTAAATTCCTTATATTCGAATTAGTCTAAAATGACACCAATATTGAAATAATCTGATAACATAGACGTTTTCAATAATTTTAGCACTTTAAAAATGAAATAGGGGTTAAGCCACCCTCCTAAGGGATGACATTTGAGGTTTTGCGGGTCAAATAATTTAAAATAGTCTAAAAAACAACTCTGAACTAGTCTGCGCAGTGCCCGTATGCCATTTCATTTAAAAGTTTTTAGGGAATCCCAGAATTCGGTTTCGTTATTCACTTTTAAATGATGCTTGCGTAAATTATGCTTGTGTAAATTTTGCTTGTGCCTACTGCTTATTCGAATTTATTTAACATTATAATTATTATAAATTTATGTACCATAATCGGGACAGTAAAGTGGAGAGTGGCAAGTAATGAGGTGGATATAAATAAGGTAAGAAAATTATAGATTATAGATAATTAGCTACATAACATAATTAAGCGAGAACTACAGTGTTTTTTTGACAGGCGAATTTGAGTACAAACAAAATTTGTTCTGATATAATATTTGCCTAGCTCACTCCATTACTCCATGCTTGCTCTGAGATTTCTGAGAAAATGTTTCCATCGTCACAACTAGTTTTTCTTCTAGCTGTATTAAAATAAGCGCCAAGAAAGAATTATGCTACTGCAGTAAAGTTCACTTTGCTGCAACCTCTTTAATGAAGTATAAAAAAAAAATATTACATCGCGACTTGAGTCATGCTCAAAAGAAAGAAGTAAACTACTAGTACTAAGTCCGCCCAAGTTAAGAACACCGGTTAAAAGAATGCGAAAAATTTAAGTAATTTAAATAATTGTTAACAAATAACAATTATTAAACGCCTCATTTTTTTGTAGTGAGTGTACGTGACAACTCTGTTTTCTATGAATTTAAATTCTTCACATTTTTTTAACCGGTGTTCTTAACTTGGGCGGACCCGTGTTCCACAGCCTTCATGGCATGGGATCTCGTAAAATGCAGGTCCTACAATGCAGGTTATGTAAGCTATGGGCAACTTAATCAACTGCTTCTGGACAATTTAAAAGACATTGACACTGTTTACGTTAAAGGACATATTGAGAAAGACTTCCTAATCAAAGAGTCCACAGAAATGAACCAACTATAGTTAATTTCTCGGTTAATTTAGAATTTTTGGGTGGTAAGTCTTGTTCCTATGTTTAATCCTAGTTTAATTTATTGTAAAAATCAGAAATAATGTTTGTTCATGTAGCGTCAAGTATGTCTATGCATTGTATACTTTAGGCACGTTTCTAAATAGATATAGAGGGAGCATTTAAGAACGTTCCAATCACATCACTAATGCACGCACTCAAGCGTAGGAATATCCCGCACACCGTATGCAACTGGATAGTAGCCAGCCTAAGAAACAGGGTATAAAAAAAAAATAATTACATCTACTCTGGGTGAGGACACAGTAGAAACAATGGTGGGAAAGGGCTGCCCACAGGGAGGCGTTTTATCGCCATTGTATTGGGCGATCCTGGTCGACGATCTACTGGCAAAAATGGCCAAGGAGAGATTCTACTGCCTTGGCTACGCGGATGATATAGTCCTGGTAGTCATAGTCCGAGATCCGGCTGCAAATTGTTGGACCGATCGCGTAACCACTCCAAATTGCAAGAATATTGAAGTTTTGTATGTAGACTTTTGAAAAATGTCATGGTGCCAGTGAAGTTTTGGCCAGAAGAGCAATAAATTTTTTTATTTATTGCTCAATTTTTCAACATTGCTTATTTTCGAGGGTCACCAAAAAATCCTTGTTCCGGAATATGCGCGGCAATTATGCGATGCGAAAAATGTATTGGTGCCACCTCCCATTTGGCCGCGTCGCCGCGGCACCAGCATGTGAAGGGGTAGTTTTTTTCAGCAAATCATCCCCATCACGTATCCACTTGATCGAGGTATCAAATGAAAGGTACTGATCTATCCAATAAGAAAAACGAATGGTGCCACTTCAAATTCCGCTGGAAGTGCCTGGCACCAATGATTTTATGCGCAATTATCACGGAACGTTATCTCGATTATTTTCCAATTTTCTACCAAAACCTGCAGTATAAAAGTTATAGAGAATTATGTTATTGGAACTGATCATCTAAAAAATTTGTGAATTTAGTTTTCTCTCGATTTTTTGTGGGCTTAAGTGTTATCTGAAACTTTAAGATTTATAGGTAATTGTGATAAATGAAGTCATTATT